CTTAGAGATATCCAAGTGTGGCATGGACAAGGATCTGCCCGACAATTTATCTAGCAATGGTGCACTAGATGAATATACAGTAACACTACTTTCAAGGCTAACTTTTCTGGGAGTACTAAAAATAATGTCTTTTTCCTGTAAATAAAGCATCCTTGTGTTGAATTTTAAAAATTAACATTGATCTTTCAACATAGTTGTGTCTACACAGGAGGATTTGCCAGCATAGCAATATCAGCTAAGGGGTGTGGTTATTTTTTCCACACTCTTAGATAACAGAGCTATGCCACCAAAACTCAGTCCCTGCTACAAAGTTCTAGTCTGCAAATATTAATGTATATAATTTTCAATTTATCAGAATAATACTTTTTCTTCTATCCAACAAACTAGTTCAAGCTTTAGCTTGGAATCAACCGACAAAGAGCATAAATCAAAATTGTGAGAGATTATTTATGCAATGCCACAGGTGTGCAAGATGCCACTCCAGCAATAAATGATAAAAACATAATCAAATGAAAAATGGATAGACTGCTACTGCTTTTCTGATGTTTGCTTTAGGGAGATTTTATTTCTTTTGTTTACACATGCAGAAGCCAAACTTGAATATATTTGCCAACTTTCATTATTATTGTGCAAAACAACTTTCAGGAAAAAAAAACCCACCTCATCTGGAATCTGCAGTGCAGATCTCAGTTGGAAATGCTACACTTGCCAATGGGGAGTTCCAAGCAAGAATTAACAAGGGAAATTCTGCATGTGGAATGAATGGGGAGACTCAGAGGTAATCTCTACCATACTCAGGCTCAGGGACTGCTGTCACACCTTGCTCATTGTACTAGCCTTTGAGGCACAGCCATTCCTCCCCATTTGCCACCTCAGAGAAGACAGGCCAGATGCCACATGATCCATACTCATGTCAAGCCCATAAGCTGTGCCAAAGTCCTGCATGCTGGAACACAGGGAGTTACCTCAGAGCACATCTCCCAAGCAGACAGGTATATGAGCTCACAGGGAGCCTCACAGTCGTGTCCACAAAGCAGAACTGCACCAGCTTCACTGCATAACATATTGCTGCTCTGTGTGTACTCACAGTGAGATAGGTGGACTAGATCCAGAGACCCTGTTCTAGAGGCTAGGGTTGCCAGATGGTTTAACAAAAAATACCGAACACCAGCAGCAACAGACCCAAGCTCTGTTTATAAAGAACCAGCTGAAACAAGCAGCCCAATTTTGCAACACAGCAAGGATAGCTGGTGTTGATACAGAAGCAAATATGGCAAGTCCAACCGGGAACTGAGTTGGCGATGGAACTGGTGATTGATTGGTTTGGGGCCTGGCAAAGCTCAGACTGCACAACGATCCATGTGATCCTCCTCTGGACCTTTCATTGGGTAGCAAAGGCAAAGGATGGGAGGAGGATGCTTGCTTGGCTCACATGGTACCATTCCTGACAGCTGAGGCACAAGCATCTTACCAAACAGTAAGCAATGAGCAGGGGAGCTCTAGCAGTGGTGGAGGCAGCCATTTTAAATTAGTTTGGGCCTGACTCCAGAAGCCTACAGGCACAAGTTCTGGACAATATCATTCCAGCAAGGGGTGCTACCATGCATAGTGGCCCAGAAGTTACAGGATGGTTTTGTTCAGAAGCCAGCTTGTTGGAGAAGCTCCTGGATCAAGTATCCTGGAGCAATTCCTGAAGGTCCTACCAGGTGGATATGGCTGGATAAGGCGTTCCTAGCTGGCCTCCATGATGGAAGCATTTGAGCAAGCTGAGGCCTACTTTGAGGTCGAAGGAAAGTAATGACCTAAGCTTCATGGTAAACTGAGTAGGTTTCACAAGGGAAGCCTGCAAGGGAGAAAAGCCCCCAAGGCTTCTAGACTTAGGGTATGCGCTAGAAAAGTAAAGGGTCTGGGGAGCCCTTCAGCCTACAGAAAGTACTAATGGGAAGGAGCTAGGAGACCCAGTAGTTTGCCACTAGTATGGCCAGCTCAGGCATATTAAAAGGAACAGCCCAGTAATGGCATGTGACTAAACTATTGCCATAGTGGGACCAATCTGTGGGACTATATGCCAAAGATCAGGGGATCTCCACCACAGTTAGTCACAGCTAGACTGAGAGGAATCACTGTTAAGGGTTTGATAGGATATAGACCTTGGTGTTGGGTGTTGTAAGACCAGGTGATTACAACTGGCCTGGACTGACAGCTCCCGGTAAATGTCTCCTGTGTCCATGAAGAGACTGGAGCCTATCCCACAGCAGAAGTTGAGCTGGATATACAGGGCCAGAGAGCTCTACTCTGTCCATGTGGTCAGGGACCTGCCATGGCCCATGCTTTTTTGAAGAGACTGGGTGGTTTATTCAGCCTTTCTTTTGGAAAGGCCAGGGCATCAATCCAGGACCCTTTTCAGGCTCAGCTGGAAAGGGAAAAAGAGAGGGACTGGGATACAGAGTAAGGAGACCCTAGAAAAGAGCCCAGAGGCAAGACCAAAATGCCTCAAATGCGAGGGACCCACTGAGGAGGAGCCAGCAAGAGTTGGAGGGGCCAACACATCCTGAGGGAAAGTCATTAGCTGGCTGGTTCCCATAGAGCAGGAATTGGCCCTGGCAACAGGTGGAAGCCAAGGAGCGGAAGGAACAACACTTGTTTTTTCAGAAAGTATTGGCCCAGACCCAGGGGGAGAGAATCAAAAGGGCTACTGTGAGAACACAGAGGAAGCCCTGTAATTCAGACTGAAATAACCAGTCTGGTAACTACGAAAGAGGCCCAGACAGAATCTCCTAACAAAGAGTGGAAAAAGAAGGGCTGAGGTATAGACCATGACACGGGGATAGGGAGGAGTAACAGTACAAGCAGATTTTGTGAGTTCCGTCCCACAAAGGCGAAACAAAGGAAGCCAAAAGGGAGCTGGAAGATCTCCAGTTCAGAGATCGAAAAACAGTATTTGCTAAACACAGTATTGATTATGAGATGCAACTGATTCATACCAGCATCAGTGAGAAGAGAATCAAACCTATTGTCTTTTAATATGCCCACAGGCACCAAGCATGCTGTTGGCAGAATGGAAAAAAATACCACCACCACATATTGCAACTTTGCTGCTGGCTCATAATTTTAATAATAATGACTGACTCTTTTAGCAGATCCAAGTTCCAATTGTAAAAGGGTATTTGGGAGCTAGTACAGCACAGGGCTGTGCTAAGAGTTCAGTGCTCTACTGGCGGATTCACTTACTGGAAGAACTACAGAGCTCTTCTATCATGGCTTCCTTTTTTGGGGGGGGGGGGCGGTGGGGAAGCAGCCAAGAGACAAAGAAGGGAGGGCGAGGCAAGAAACAAAGACTGAATACTTCACCCACAAGCCAATATCGTTTCATTTCAGGTTCGATTTACGTAAATATATCCCACAAGGTCTCCTTTCATTATTTGTGATGTCTCCAGAGTTCCCTATGTAATTACAACCTTCTTGCATACACATTAGTGTACATCTTTTGTATATTTATATACACATCACAAAGGCTCAAGTTATTAAGGCCCTGCTACTCTGTAACAGCCATAATTTCAGTTCTCAATATACGATTTTTTTAAAAAAATTTGTTGTCGTAAGGGGACACCTAAGGGTATGTCTAAACTACAGGGTTTAAAAAACGGCCTTTTTTCAGAAAAACTTCCCCTGTATCTAGATTGCTGCTGCGTTCTTTCAAAAGTAAATTGAAAGAATGCAGCAGGTTTTTTGATCGCAAGAAAACCTCGTTTTACGAGGAATAACACCTTTCTTCGAAAGTGCTCTTTTGAAAAAAAAGGCACTATGTAATGCAAACTGTGTTTTTTTGAAAGAGAGCATCCAGACTGCCTGAGTGCTCTCTTTCAAAAAAGCAGCTTGCTTTTTCGAAAGTACTGGTTGTAGTCTAGACACTCTTTTTCCAAAGAGGCTTTTTCAAAAGTATCTTTCGAAAAAGCCTCTTTCAAAGAGGATTGCAGTCCAGACACAGCCTAAAAGACCAAATCATTCTACAGTGTAAAAATTGCGAAGTAAAAAAATTCCAGTTAAAAAAAGTCTAAGTTAGCTGCACCCAGTTTTTATATCAAGTGGCCGATCCTTTTAAATCTGGAATCATTCCAGCAACATTAACTCCGGTGAACTTTTTGGATGCAATACAGGGCATAAATGGGTTAAACCTCATTGCTGTCAACGGATTTACACCTGCCTGTAACAGTTCTGAGTTTGGCATAACATACAACTCCAGAAAAGTGTAATTGTCACTACAACAGTTAACATTCCTCAATGTAAAGATCTGTTTCTAAACTTCTTACAGAAGGGCTGGGAAAACTATGGCCCAAAGGCCGCATCCGGCCTGTCAGTCATTTTAATCTGGCCCTCAAGCTCCCACTAGTGAGTGGAGTGAGGGGGAGAGGGGCTTGCTTTGCTCCATGCACTCTGTGGCTCTGTGTGATTCCCGGCAGCAGTGGCATGTCCCCACTTCGGCTCCTATGCATGGGAGCAGCCAGGGAACTCTGTGCACTGCCCCCATGTTCAGACTGGCTGGGAACTGTAGTCAATGGGCATTGCCAGGGCAGCAGCATGCAGAGCCTTTTGGCCATGCCTCTGCGTAGGATTCAGAAAGGGGACGTGCTGCTGCTTTTGGGAGCTATTTGAAGTAGGTGCCCCCCAGAACCTGCACCCCTGGGTGTCCCCCCCCAGTGTCCCTTCCCCCTGCTCCAGACCTGATCCCTCTCCTGCCCTTTAAACCCTTTGATCTTAGCCCAAAGCACCCCTCTGCAGTGCAAACCATTCATCCCCAGCCCAGCCCAAAGCCCACACCTGCAGAGAGCCCTCCCCCTCCCCCACATGTCAATCTGTGAGCATTCATGGTCCAAATAATTTCCCTAACCTGATGTGGCCCTTGGGCCAAAATGTTTCCCACACCAGTCTTACAGATTAAAGCTTTGTACTTAAAAATAATCATCACTAGAACTCATAACAAAGAGCCTATTAACACTCACCAGGAAACCTGCTATGCAGGTTGGCATCACAGTTGTATCCATTGAATTGTGCAGCCACTGAAAGCACCTGACTCGTCAGGAGGAGCAGTAACCATTTTCGTTCCATTGCAAAACCTAACAAGACATGATAGAGTTATTATGTGCATCTGTTCATTGCAAAGAGATAATTCTATAGCCACTCAGGTCTTCAACCTCAGAATCAGGGACAAAGCTCACACACTAAACAGACAGCACACCACAGGCAAGGGCTCCCACTTCTCCGACTGCTGAATATTAGTAACACCTATTGATTTCTATAGAGTTGGCCTATATCCTATGGCAAGAACAAAGTCCAGGGAGCCTTAAGAAAAACCTCTTAAAACAGTAAAGAAATAAACACTTCTGAAATATGTTAGCAATTTAATAGAGTGTTTAACTTAAATACAGAATATTTTTGTTCTTCTAATTTTGGATACTTAGGTAGCAATAATGGTGAATTGGATAGCTCGGATACAGCAACAGTTTTGCTTCAATAAACCATTGAAAACAATACAGTTACATGTATGTAAGTTACTACTCAAGTTTTAAGTGCTGAAATAAATCTGTCTGTATTTTATCACCAAATTCTGCCCTGGAAGTATGTATGCAGTGGCACTAAATTTGGCAATACCGGACACCTGGCAATCCTAAAAATCAGAACAAATGGACATCTTAGGGAACACCAAGACTGAAGGAAACCCCTCAAGTTATAGCATATATGCAACAGGTATATAACATAGGCCAATCAGGAAGAATGTTTGCTTTATCAAAATGTCAAAAATATTTGACAAGAGAGCTAAAACTTGCAGGGTTTTTTTAAATAGAACTTTTTATATTTTAGGAAATAACTCTGTACCCTAATGTAGCTCTTAAGAATTCCATACAATTCCATACGGTAGATGTTGCAACCTTCTAAGAGGCAATAAATTATGAAGTTCGGGTTTCTAGAACACTGGCACTATTGATGCATTACTCAGAGATGACTATCTGCACACTTTCAGCCCAAATAACCCCAAAGTCCTGCACAAACTGTATAAATACAACACAACTGAAATACAGTCATTTCTAGCATGACAACAGCAGCCTACCATAGCACAGAAGAGTTGACAGCAGTAGGATGAGGGGAAACTCTAGCCAGTGACATTAGGTTAAATCCTTTACTCTCACAAAAGCATCATTGGATCTTTAGTGCCTGTGCAGGCTTTCATCCAAAGCACATAGACATCAATGGGAAAAGTCCCGTGAAGTCGACTAGGTTTTGGATGTGGCCCACAGAGACAACAAAACATGAGTTTTTGAAAGGCTCATGAAGAGAGAGCCTCATATGGTACATGGCAACATTTAAGCAAGCTGGAGCATATACAATCTTGAACCAAGTTCTGTTCTCATTTACATTTTTCAATCTCGGCACAGTCAAGCGTACATGAGCATAATTGGGAGTAATTTGATCCATTAATTTCTATCCTGTTTTGTTTGAACAAGCACAGAGCAAATACAGAGAAATGTACATTGTAAGTTCTTGTTAAATGTAGTAGTTTCTAATCAAACTAGATCTTTGCTTGGCCCATCCAAAAGAAGCTTGGGTCTTACAGCAATTGTGCAACTGCTGGGCCAGCATTTGCATAGTCACAGAAGTTAAATCTCTTTTTACTCCATTTTATGTCTGGCTACTTAATTCATTCCTTAGATCCTATTGTCAGTGATGGTTGACGAGAAGAGTTGAAAAAGCCATGAAAGAAAATGACTAAATAGGGTGCTGCAAAAACCTTTACTTACACTCTCATATTTTCTCCTTCTCACTCTCCATTTCCCACTGCTGTAAATGCTCTTTCCCCTACAATTTGCATTTCTATTTTGCAAGAGCCATATTTTTTGTTCAGAACAATAACATCTTTCCTGCCATACAAGATCCCAGCCTCTGCTTTCACTTGGTGGACAAAGTTGCAATCATTGTTCTGTGTATTGGCCAGATCCTGATCCAGTTACATTGTGATCTCAAGGAACAACTCTGGATTTACACCAATCTGGCTTTCTCACTCTAGTTGCTCCGCTGGTTTTCCTCACTACCAAAAGCTCAGGTCTGAAAAGCAGCTATAGAATACACTGAAAAGCAGCAAGCTTTCCAATTTCAGTGGAACACAGATTTTTACTGTCAGTTAGAAAATATTAAATATTTAAACTAATCTCAGTTGCCAATGTTTGTTTTTGCAGTAGATGAGCAAAACAGAAGAAAAAGATGGACCCAAAAAAAATTCTCCAGTGACCTTTTCAGTAGGCCAGCTTACTCAGTTTTTAGTTACTCCTTACTCATGGGACTTCCACATGAGTCAGTCTGACTAAGGACAGAGCCCAACTGATCCTCACCTTCTTATCCCTCCCAACCCGTGGAAAACCAGTGTGAGGAGCTATGGGATAGGATGCATCTGAGGTTTTCCTTATTGTGATTTCTTCTGGAAGCCCAAGATATTAAGCAGGGAAATCAACCTCACTCCAATTCATAGAACATATGCATGAGTCATCTTTTAAGAGGTGCAGGGCAAGATGGAGGTATGGGGGGCAATGGCAAAGGCAGACCACAGCCTTCCCATTTACAGTAGCTGAGATTCATGCATGCATGGATTGTCCCTTCCACGCACAGATAAGGAGAGTACAAATTGGCTTTGACTAAATACTGAAGAAATATCAATACGATCTGGGAACTGCAGGTTTATCGGCTATATAAAGTTAAGGGAGCCTTGAAGTGAATCAGATTAACTCAGACATTCCATACCACAAAAATGTAGGTCTCTATTTGCACCTATTAAAGTCAATGGCACCCCCCCCAACAGATTTCATTGGGGCAGGAACAGTCATTGACAGGATTCTACTGTTGAATATTTCCGACTAGCATCTAAAGTCAGATGTATTCAACTTGTTGCGGGAATAGTATACTCTGGTGGATCTTTCAGTTCATATGCATATCCCAGGCAATCTGATTTGTGCGTCTTATTACTGTCTTGTTCAACCTATGCTTTTTTTAGAAATACGGGTAGAACATTTCAACCTATGCTTTTTTTAGAAATACGGGTAGAATATTTCAATAGCTTCACATTAAAAATCTTATTTTTAGAAGAACAATTTAAAGGTGAGCCTTTGCTAATTGTCCATTGAAGTTTAGGATTTCTTCCCCAAAGAGAAACACACTCCCAACTTTTATAAGCTGACACACATCATAAGGTTAAATCTTCAGCAGTTATGTTGCTTATTCCACATGTAAGAAAACATTATTTATATACAACATAGAATAGGGTAGATCTTATGACATAATATAGTGATGAGCAGAGTATAAAAGGTGAATGCAAAAACGGAACAGCCTCTGAAATTCAAGTAGCACCTTTATGATAGCAATGATGGTAGCAGTAAATAGTCAGTGACTAGTCAGAGGCTTTTTACTTGTGAGCAAGCGGATAGCCGTCACTGAAAATATAAATCACTGGCTCAAGTTTAGCATGCCATATTTTGGATTAACAACCGTGTGTGGTGGGACCACTAGTCCAAGACAACTCCCTCAATGCAAGCACAGCTACAGGCAGGTCTCCCCATCACAGGTCCACTCCCTGTTAAAACACACAGTACTCATTGCAATATGCCAGTACAACGAAAGTGCTAGTGACCATCTCATTGGTGAATGGACCAATTCCAGTAGCAAATAGTCCAGATATATAATTTTTATCTATGTAGCCTAATGTGGCATTGTGGTTATCAAACATCATTTTACCTGGACTATTTGCTCAATTTCATATGAACAGATTCACACATTTTAAGGCTAGAAGCAAACCATTAGATCATTAGTTTGACCTCCTGAATTACACAGGCCTAAGAATTTCATCCAGTTACTCCTGTTTTTAGTCCAATAATTTGTGTTTGACTAAAATATATCTCCCAGAAAGAGTTCAAGGGATAGACAATCCATCACTTTTCCTTGGTAGTTTGTTTCGGCGGTTAATCCTCTCCCCTCCCCCCATTAAAAAACGTGCTCCTTATTTCTGATTTGAATTTGTCTGAGTAATTTCTAATCATTAGATCACATAATGCCTCTTTCTAGTAGATTAAAATCCTTTTAATATCCTGTAATTTTTCTCCCTGTAAAGATACTTATACACTGTAATCAAGTCAGACTGAATTTTTATTGGGGGACTTAAGTGTAGTTTCAGTATATAGATTCAAGGTACAGAAAATATTTTTTCTATTTAAATAAGAAAAACTAAGCATCTATTCATAGCATTCCTAATTTTGCTAATTTTAACTATACTGTGTAAGTCCTTTGAGCCTATTTTGAAAAAGGAAAGAAAAAAAAAAAAGACCACAGAGCACATTCCTGAAAATGCTTCTTAGCCCAGAAAATAAATATATTCAGTTGTCAAAAAGACAGTTTGACATCTGAAGTTTTATGACTCTAAAGCTGCTGACATGTGCCATAAGGGAAATATATTCTTTAATGGCTATGAAATCCTTAGCTGAAAAACCTGATCCAATTTTGACTGACACACGCTGAGTTCTCATTTAGTTTTTCAAGCCCTCTTTTCCCATTGGTGTGTCTGCTGAGGGTTTTCTCAAGCAATCCTTATTATTCAAATGACTTACAGTATTTTGTTTATAAAAAATACTGTCATACTTTGACTTTGTGAAGAAAACAGACAACGTGGCCCAAACACATCACTATATTTTCCTCAACAGTTTAATAATTTCCCTTCCAAACAATTTTCCCTTTACCACCTCCCTGCAATAGGTATAGTATTTTCTACTTTGAAAGGCTCTATTTTCCCTATGGATTTAGGGGCAGGGGTGAAATTTGTGTACAGGATTTCCATTAACACCAACAGAAATTCAGTTGATTAATATCTCAAGCATTAATAAAAAGGACACGGACAAGAGGACAGTCGGAGATTTAAAAAGATCTATCAAGCCAGGTTAATGAAGTCATTTTGTACACTGCAGCTTATGCAGAGTTTAAAAAAAAAAACAATAATCAATTCAAAATTTAAATAGTCCTACAAATGAATGGCCCTGTATAATGAAATAATAAATTTAGACAATATAGAAAAAGCAAGCAGTGAACTTTGCTGAATGAAGTTGGCTCTTTGTATGCACAGCACAGAAGCAGTTCTGCCTGTTCTACACATCGCATCATAAAGAAACAGATCCTGGTGACAAGCACCTCAGTAACTTCATTATTGCTATTTTCTGGCACCTGAACCCTATTTTCACAAGTTTTGCTATGCCAGAAAATCTCTACAGTGGCCCAGATTTAAATGGAATTGTGATTAATGGAACCAAAAATTTTTTGTACACAATCTATGGCTTGACGGATTATCCGGCTAGAGTCCCCCTTCTCTGTCTCCTGGTTCATCCCATCTGAGCATACGTCTAGACTGCATTGCTTTTCTGGTATACCAAACATTTTCGAAAAAGCAGACATACTCTATCGCCATGCCTGTAAACCTTGTTCTATGAGGAATAAGGAATGTGGTGAAAGCACTTTTTTCCAAAATTTGGTACCATGTAGATGCACCAAATTTTGGAAAAGCCTCTTTTGAATATAAATCAGAAAAAAATATGCAATTTGTGTATCACAAATTGCATTTCTTTTTACAATATAACATTGCAGTGTAGACCTAGCCTGACAGATGAACTTTGTGTCCATCATATTTATTTTCTTCTGCTCTTCTCCTTCCATCGTGGAATCAAGATTTGACATGATTCCTTAGTAGGGTGGGCTGAATTTTCCATCCTCAACAAGATTTTTATTACAATTCATTTGTGAGTCCATACTGATTACCATGAATATATTTAAGTATTCACAAATTATTTATAGGAATGAATTATAGCCTATTGTTTGTTCATTTCTCTGTATTCTCAGTGTATGACAGGTCAGCATGATACTGTCTGCTGCCTCATTGAATGATTCAAACATGTTTCTTTAAAAGAGAACTAATAAAAAAAAGAAAACTTCTCCAACACAAATTTTCAAACATAAAAAATTCATGATAAAACAGTGAAACATTTTAAATTCGCAAGCATTTTCACACATGCCTACTAGCTGCCTGAATGCTACAGAACAATGTATAATACAACTCTACACATCACAGCTTACAGAAACCACCATTTTTATTCAAGACAACAACGCTGTATCTGATTTCAAACCTATAGTCCTTATTAGTGATGGTGGAATATCTCGAGTTGTATCTATGGAACAATTCTAATTCTGAAAAATCCCACAGAGATAAAGAGAGAAATTCTACAGATCAGCAATCCCAGAAAGGTGAATTTGCAAAGCTAAACTGGAAACTGAGTCAAACCCTCAAATGTGTGGAATGTGCCCAGTCTTTTCAGGGCACTCAGCACAGTAATAAAAGTTTTAATTAGTTGCTCCCATTTAAACATAGTTTAACAAGGGAATCAGTGATGTTGAAGATCAATGCATTCATAGACTTTACAAAGGGGAAAATGGTTATTCATTTCTTAAAAGATAAACCTGCTTCTTTGCTAGTTTCATTTCTCTGTGATACCCATACCCACCCTTAGTTATTGGGCCACTCCTTTATACTGGCAAAAAGACAAGGAGAACATACAGATCAGTAGCATAACCACATGTGAGTCTGAGCAGGCAGCTATCATCCAGGCCCACCGACCCCCATCTCATTTTTGCTCTTGCCCAGCTCTGCTTGTCTAGTGCTCTTGCCAAGGTCTGAGGTCGGGACACAGAGCTTGCCTCTCTATTCTCTTCTGGTGCTCCAGCTGTAGAACATGATCAGGGGCTTGTCCTGCTCCTCCTCCCCAAGGTTCTTGCTGGAGAGTGGCACTGGTGCATGGAGCTTGTAAACTGCTGACCCCACTCACCAGAAGGAGCTCTGGAAGGGCACAGTGAGGCAAGCTCCGAGGACCCCCTCCCACCCTCTCCAAGACTGGTTGGTAGAGGCAGCCCAATCTGTCCTGTCCCCTGCCCCACCATCATTGCCCACCCCTCTGAAATCAGGGCCAACCCCAGGGTCTTTTGGCTAGGTGAGTAATACAAATCAGGGGATTTAAAACTGGGTTGGGTTTCCAAAATGGGTTGCACAGGCTAGCTTAAGACTTGCTGGGGCTCAGAGCCAAGGCCCTAGCTCCACTACCCATGACTGTAGCAGAAGCCTGAGAGCCTCAGCTCTGGTCATCAGGGCTTAGGTTACTTCTATATATAAAAGGGAGATATACCATCTCATAGAGCTGGAAGATACCTTTAGAAGTCATCAAGTCCAATCACCTGCCCTCCCAGCAGGACCAAGTACCAGCCCTGACAGATTTGCCTAAATGGCCCCCTCGAGGACTCAACTCACAACCCTGGATTTAGCAGGCCAATGCTCAAACCACTGAGCTCTCCCTCCCCCTAGTTTATTGAAAAGAAGGTCCATACAAGACCATATCAAATATTCTACTAAAGGTTTGTTTTAAGATCAGCAATCACGTATGAATCCCTAGCACATATCTTGCAATCCTTAGACAGCTAAAACTCCAGCTGACCTCAGTGGGAGTTTAGGAACTAAGGGTATGTCTACACTACCCCCTAGTTCGAACTAGGGGGGTAATGTATGCATACCGAACTTGCTAATGAAGCCCGGGATTTGAATTTCCCGGGCTTCATTAGCATAAAGCCGGCGCCGC